CTTTCCCTAGGGAGCAGGAAACTAGAGGTTAGAAAGGCATTGTATACACAAGAGAAGGCACAAAACAAGGAGCATGCAAGGAGAAAAGGTGTGATCCAGAGCAGGAGAACATGATGGGATCCTAAGCATAATGAAATAATAATAATAATAATAATAATAATAATAATAATAATAATAATAATAATAATAATAATAATAATAATAATAATAATAATAATAATAATAATAATAATAATAATAATAATAATAATAATAATAATAATAATAATAATAATAATAATAATAATAATAATAATAATAATAACAACAACAACAACTTACTGCACAGAGCAACTGGCAAAGAGTTGAGAGCTTCAGACAGTAAAGTGACAACAGGCCCCAGAAATATCTATTTGACAAGCACTGAGCATACAAAGGAAGGACAGAAAGTACTGAAACTACAAGGGAGAAAATAACAAGTGTGCCAAGATACATGAAGCACAGGTGGGCTATCCACATGGAAGGAGATAACTGTTTCTGTTAGGGAATGGTGCATCTGGTCAGTCTTTTGACTTCGGAATCCTCCATGTCTTACCTCCAAGGTGCACACAACATTTACTGCACCTAGCTCTTCCAAAAGCAATCAGTAAAGCAACTGTACCATTCATGCTGTCTGTGTTATCAGCCCTGCCACCCCATTCTTGTCCAGCTCTAAACTGTCCACCCCAACACATTTGGACCAGAGGCTCTAACCACCTCTCTCTCCCATCAATCCCACACCATGCTCACCTCTGCTCTTATCATGTCTTTCTACTTACTTATTTCAGCTATAGGTGACACATTCCTCCTTTCCACCTTCCAAGTCAGGAATTCGCCTGCAGCACAGAACCACTCATCTCTTAACCACAGGCCAGGCACTGCAGAACAGACAAAAAGGTAGCCCCTGTTTTTACAGTCTCAGGGTAGCTACCACTATCATTCTCCAGAAGAAAAATGCTTTCCTGCTTCCTCTTCTCTTGCCAGACTTGTACTAAATCACTAAGGGGAGGAGCAAGAGCTCATAATGTTTCCTGGGCAGCTGGGATCCCACCTGAGGAGCTAAGTGAGGAAGGCAGCTCATCAGAAAGAGCCTATTTTTTTCAGCCCAGCCCCAGACCTGGCCAAATTGGCATTTTTTGTGGGCAGAATAAAACAAAACAACCCAAAACAAAATGAAACAAAACAATAGAGAAGAAAAACTGAAAATCACTCTGTAGTGCCTGGAAAGAGCAGTAGAAAAACAGGAAAAAGAGAGAAAAAAAATAGTAAACAGAGAAACTTGAATCAGCTGGTTCAAAATTATCCAACAACCTCACAAATAGGAGAAACAAGATATCTGAGGGTATACGCTCACTACACAGTTAACCCGGGCTGTCCACTGAATTTTGTCTTAGGTACTTCAAGCTAAGGCTACCTGGACCAGCTTGAAATAAAACCTGGTGTTTGCATGCATATATATATATATATATATATATCCATACAGACTGTTGCACCAAGTCAGTCTCTAATTTGCTTGCCCTTGCAGTGAAGTTACTCAGGTGCCAATACTCTCCCAGTGCTTTTCCAGAGTTTCAGAAGGACAAAAAATAGTCTGTCCCTAGCCAATGCCATTTCTTCCACTATTTCCTGGAAAAGGATCTTAGCTCCCCCTAGAACAAAAGCCTACGAGCCCTTATGATACAGAGAGAGAAGCACAGCACCTGGAAAGGTTTCTTTTTGTAACAGGATCACTCATGGGCTCCTGCCTGGCTTTTCTGTATGTCAAGCATGATTGCTGGTCTCTCAAATCAACTATACAGCAAAGATACCCTGAAAAAAGTAACAAGAAACAAGAGAGCTTTTGCAAGTGTCCTTACTAACAGCAATAATTTAGAACAAGTTCATAGAATCAAAGAATTGAGACAAAGCTGTGGCACAGAGTAGTTCAACTGATGGGCTGATAAGAGATGCTGTCAGCTTCACCTGGGGAAGGCACAGACCTGTTTCAGAAGTGCAACACTCAGTTCTTCCTCCTGAGCATCTCTGAGAGTTAAGCCCAGAGCAGGTAACATTTCCACAACCACCTCACAGGGCAGGGTGGGTATGTAGCCTGGTATATGCTTTGTCAAGGGGTTGTTGTGTTGCCTGGCTGACCACATTAGACCAGTGGGAGTAACATTCTGAGTTTTTCTGCAAGCCTTGTTGGAAGAGGCTAAACACTAGGTACAAGCAGTGGAAGGCAATCACAGAAAAAAATGCATGGATTTCTCCTTAGACAAGGTTCACAACAACTTTAATTATTGCCTCTGTTAGGAGGATCTGCTGAAAGCCACAACTTCATACTTTTTGGCACAGTCAGTTTATGAGCCATTTCCTGCAGCAGAAAATATAAACTCTTGGTTGGGCACACAGTTTAAATCTTTTCTGAACTTTGAAATAATTTAAAAATAAAGATCAAATCTCTCTGTTGAGCAAACTAATGTTTAACTAATAAGATAAGCATTTAGAGCCTGCCATACTCAATTGTGTATTAATCTGAATCTTGATCTAACTCCCATTGAAAACCCACCATGTCTTTCCATTACCTTCAGTGGATGTTGGACTTGTCTCTTGACAAATAAGAGAACAACTAAGCAGGGAAACCAGAGCTCTATTTCTGAGTAAAGGAACAGCCTGCTGTTTCCACTGGGTTCAAAGGAACAGGACATTGTGAATATTCCTGTGTATAAAATTACACTAAGATGCAGCTGACAACTGCAGGGCTCCTACCCATGGCTCACTGCTTGCACAAAAAAAGCAGAGCAGCAAGTAGGTGCCAGGTGACTGCTTTTAAAATGCCTGCAAGTATTTAATGTTCTCCTGTATGACTGGTAGGTCTCTTATCAAAGGCCTTGGTGCACAGTCCAGCACTACCCATGACCAAACACCACTGACTTTTCTCACAGCCACACTTGGGACTAATCCCTGTCCCTTGACAGATCTGGAAAAGGCAACAGGTAGGCCCATAGCACCATAGCAACCCTGCAAGAGAGCACTAGTCTCCCTGTCACCACTGATCTCTCTCTGCTAAGAATGGAGGCAGAGACACATAAGGCCATGCAGGGCTGTCTTGAGCAAAGACACCTTTGTCCCATGCTAGGGCAGAGATAGGAGAGGAGGCAGAAGCATCTCAGCAGGCCAGACCAGTCAGGGCTTGCCCTGCTCAGGCACTTGAAACCATCATGAAGATACTCCTGTAGGAGTGGTTTGCTTGAATTTTTTCCCTCAAGCTTCACCAGAGGGCAGCTGCTTTCTGAAACTGAACTTGAACTGGCTGAGTAACAGGGTGAACAGAGCCAGAGCTATGGATGTCTGAGCATGGTCAAGCACTGGGACCACCAGTCATGTGCAGGCTAGAGAACTCCCACACTTGGCACTGGGGACTGCTTCTCACCTCTGCTCTAAATGCCTCAGTTTCCTTTGTGAGAGGCAATGAGCCCTTGCCTGAGGTAACTTATGAGGGGAAGCATTTTGGAGCCTCCTGCTCACATGATGATGAAATGGTCAGAGTAAGATGCTGTAACACCTAGTCAAACTCATCTGAGTGTAGGGCTTTGTGTAACACACCTGCTGGTCCTGCCTCTCCCTGTCACAGGGACTTTCTTCGGGCTTTTACTGGATGAAGTGCACCAGGCCTGTGTGATGCCTGATGGAGGAAGCACAGGGGTAGGTTGCTGATGGCCACTGATGAGTGCAGGTTGGTGGCTAATCCCCATCCCTCTTGCATGTAATTCATCCAGCTCTTCCCAGGCACAGCTTCTGGCATCTTCAATCTCCAGACAGCCTCACAGTCCTCCTGGTCCTGTGGGATGCCTTGTCTGTTACCAGCCAAGTATAACTCATGGCAGACAGCCATCCTCAGCAGACCCCTCCTGGCATAGCTGGCTACTGGGAAGGAGCAGTGAGCCCCACACTGAAGGGGTGAAAGTCCCTTTAACACATCTCTCAGGCTCCACACTTCATGCTTTGCTGTCATAAAATGTAGGAAAAAATGAAATTCATGCTCAGGTCTTTTGAATTTAGATGGCAAAAAAAGCATTGTTCAAGAAATGCAAAGATTTCCTTGTCTGCAATGATGCCTTTCTGGATTTCATGACATCCTTGAACCAGAAAAAGCTAGTATCTCACAGTATGTTTCTACAGCCTGCATACTCCCTACCAGCTGAAGCTCTGACAGAAGAAATAGTCCCTACATCAGTAAACCCTGCATGAAGAACTGCAGGGTAGGAATAGGTAACACCATATCAAGTGGAGTGCCATGAGTTTCCGCTCCAGTTTGGAAACACTGGAGTAGGCAAATGTTCCTGTGACCAGGAACCAAACCCCTGTCTTTCACCTCTGGCATCACCACAACCAAATGAATATCTATGGTATTGTTTTCATTTAGTGGTCAGGGCAAACAAAACACAGAGAACAGAATTGCTCTTTATTACTACCCCCCACCCTCCGATGGGATGATAAATAGGGAATAAGAAAGAAAGACTCCAAGGTTAGAAGTTAAAACTAGAACAGGTTTAATAGAACAGTGAAGGGATAGTAACACATGGGATAATGAAAAATGAATGAATATGTAGCTGGGGAGGGACTTTTTACAAGGGTGTATA